CAGCAGGAGCTACTCAGAGCACCAGCTAGTCATGACTTTAGCAACCCAGGACTGATGTTCAGTCTGTTTAAAATTATTAAAAAAAACACTCTCTAAATGTCTTTGTTATTCAGGTGTGAAGCTCCCTTGCAGCAGCAAGAGACACTCAGGAGGATGACACTGCTGTGCTGACATTTAGATATTTGCAAAAATTTCATCAGACCAACAGCAACCCTTGAGGGAAAACTTGGGGATATCACTGAGACCAGGAATACTAAAACCCAGAAAGAAGTTGGTTCTCCTAATCCACTGTATCTGATCTCCACTGGTGAGTACTGCAGAACGGAAATGCTTTTCCAGACCACGAACCCCGTCAGGAGCCCACTCTGCACATGGTATTGCATCTGAGGGGAGGCCTGAATGAGCCATCTCTTCACCAGCTTGCCCAGAAATGCAGCCATGACAAAATGGTGCCATGCAAATTCCACGTGCTTCCTCTTGCTTTGCAAGTGCAACTAAAGCAACGTAGCCATACCAGCAACCGTGTCCCAAGAATGAGCTGAGGTTGAGCCTTTGCCCTGCTGTTCAAACAAAGCATCAAAGCACTGTACTGGTCTGTTGTAACAATTTCAGCTCTGCCAGAAACCATCTTATTTTAAAATAAGTTACTCAGTGGTGGTAAAAAAATTTATTAGGAGTCAAAATGGATTTTGCCTGTGTGCTTACTATCACTTTCTTACAACCCAGGAGGTCTGGGAGGCAGGATTTCCCTTTGCAGATGCCATGCTGACTCTTCCATAGCAGGCTCAATTGTCCAGGGTAACAGATCTGAATTCACACTGTAGTGGATCTAGCTTATTGGAGTTTCAATAACATATGTGAAGAAGAAAGCAGCATTAAAGAAAACTATGGTACTGCAATACAAGAGGCAAAATAGTCATTGTGCAGATTACCACCTTGAAATGTTGCAAACCCTCTTTTGCCAACACTGAGAACTTAGGTCATCTGGTAACAAGAATTGTGATGTTCATAAAAAGGAAAAAGAAATAATGAAACCAAGTAATGGGAACTTAAAGGACTCTCCTTGAGGGCAAAAATGTAATGTGTGTGTGACTCCTGAATTGATGTGTGGGAAATGAGTAACTAGGGCTGGTCTGAGAACACCAAGTGCCAGATACTATTTCAAGCCAGGTGACCATTAGGGGTACAAGAAAGGTTGCCCTTGGGATGCAGGTCAGAGAAGTATTGAGCTTAGCAACTGTGACAGAAAGAGTGGCATGAAAATCCACATGAACTTGGGGTAATTAAACATTTCCTAATCCTTTTTGCCATGCTGCTACTTGACCACTCCTTGCAGAGATTGGACTGAGGGTCAAATTAAAAAGAAAAGAAGAAAACAAAAACCAACAGCAACAAATGTCAAGTCTCTGGACAAACTGTAAATATTTTTATCTTCTTCCTGCATCTTACTTCAACATGTTAATACACAAACAGATTCAGGCTTACAGGGTTCTCAAAGTGACTTTGCTTAGTCTATCACCCATTTATCTGCCATGCCAACACTTGACTCAAAGTGACAGCTCAGAAACTCTGCCCTCTATTACTTTTTCTTGTTTAAAAGCAATTGCTATATCAGCAAGAGAAAAGTCACTCCATTTGATTAATAATACATACTGATGGTCGAGACATTCAGTCAGAAAACTGATAAATTGTTAAGCTGCTGAAATCCACCTGCGGGTTTCTTTAGGTCTGGACTTACCTTCTGACCTTCCCGCTCCATGGAAACTCACTTAAGACACCACTAAATATTTTCTCTGTAAACTATGTAAGATAGGGACAAGGAAAGTTTGTGCTTTTCAGACAGCCTTCCTATAAACAAACACTAAGCTCAATTATTGATGCAGCAAGTGAATCAACCTGGGAATTTCTGATGTAGCAATACAGTGCAGTTGCATATTTTCATCTCTATTAAAGAGGACAGGATATAACAAAATACAAAAATACAAATCTAATCAGAGTTGTGCAAAAGATAACATCATTTGTTGATTACTGCTTTAGTGTTTTTCCACTACTTCCCTTTTGCCTCCTTCCACAACAATTCTTCCCATGCGTGGATGGTTTGGCTCATTCACTACTTGCACATATCCTAGCCTTCACCACGTCATCATGGCTTAAAACAGCAATGAGCAGTCAAAGTGGAACAGAGAGTTTTCTTCTCATCTCTGACATTCAACATATCCTGTAGGAACTCAGCATCAGAAAAGAAAGTAAAGCTTGTTTTTCTTTATAACTAAGGTGTGTTTTTGAGGACAAAACTCACATACAACAGTGCCTAGCCATGAAGCTAGCGCTGAGTTGACAAAATAGAGCTCTGGGTTTCAGAGCCAATGTACACTTCTACACATTCGAACATTTAATCCTCTCGTGCCAAGTCCAAAGCCTTAATGATGCCACAATAAAGACTAAATGTATTTGTTCAGCCAGATCCTGAGTACAAACCATGTGAAGCCATTGAAATAAATAAAGGTTTCCAATGTTGTATGAAGGTATCAGAATCACAACCCTTTCTTTTAAGTTTTGGATGAAGAAGCTTTTGAGGAAGGGTCTCAGAGGATTCTGTCAAGTGCCAGCAAGCGGAAACACAACTTTAGGAATACTCTAGAGATATTTATACTTCAGTCCTGACATGCTGCTTTCTATATACCTTTGACAAGTTCCTTCCTCTCTGCCCTTCAAGTGGCTGCCCTAGCACCCACAGAAAGGATAAAATCAATGAAGAGCAAGCTTGGTCCTGCTGCATTTGGAAAGATGAGAGCCTATGTGAGCCTTGAAAAGCTTCCACCCATGTAACCTCCCCAACTCATGATTTGAAGCACAGGGGCAGTCAGAGATGCTGGCTGATTAGAACCCCAAAACCAAAGATGCTAAAGTCCAGTCTCAGGCAGGCACTGTGGGAACAGCCACATGCAATTCCTGCCAGGTTCACTGTCTCCCCAGACTACTGACTTCCCCTCTCCTCATCATTTCTTCTCAAAGTGTCTTTCATCCTCTCTGCTCCTGTTTGGCCCCTGACACTCAGAAAGACAGCAAGAAAAGCATCCTAGCTGTTTCTGCCCCATTTCTCTCTGGACTGGCTCAAATCTAGAGAACTACATGTCCAGCAGCTCAGTTGGGGCATCCTAGGGTTGCAAGCCACTGGCACACAGCCCAGAGCCACTCCACGTGCACCTGCCTGGCATAACAAGAAACGTTGAAAGGATACATGGTGAAATCTATGTATGGGAGTCTCAAACAAAGACATCCTAAGAAAAAATAACTGACCATTTTCCAAAATTATTTTTGTACATCTACTTAATAATAAAAGCCAAGATTTCTGAAGTGGCAAAAATGTTCCTGCACTAAGATGAGTTAAAACATGCTTAAATTTTTTAAAATTTTCTTCACTTACATAAATTACACCCAGCAATATCAGCCTCAAGCCTGTCCCCCCTGAGTTTTGAGTACTGGAAGCTGTATTCTGTGTAAAGATAAACACAAATTTTCATTTTTTCACTTTCCAGACTGCTCTTCTTTTCAGACAGCAATACCTTCACTACTAAAATTAACAAGCAATAACCACTAAAACTGTAAATAGAGAAAAGGAAATAGATTGTGAATTAAGGGGAAATCAGAAACTCATGAACAGAGAGACATCTCAGGCCTAGGTTATGCTGTTTCCCTACTTTTTTTTTTTTTGTTGTTGTTATGTTGCATACCTTCTGTTTCTTTTGTTGAAAAAGTGTGGAGGAGGGGAAGCTCACACCCAAGATGATAAATGCCTTTGTTCATACACCTGAGAAACAAAGCTACAATGATACCTTTCTACAGCTGTTTTCCCAATTACTTCTGGCTACACTGAAATACAAATGTGAATAACCCTTCTCGTGGTAAGCCACAGAAAGAAATAGTGACGTACAAAAAAGCAGAGAAGCTAATTAATATAATGAAATAAGGGTATTTTCCATCCAATTACCTGCTCCAATGAACACAGAAAAGAAAGGTTAAATAATCTGAAAAGTCCAGGGATTTTGTGAGGATTTTTGCATTTTCTATTAAGCTTTAAAGCTGGTGTCCATCATTACATTAGTAGTTTTAAGTGTGTAAGCAAAAATATACCATGTTCACTGTCCAGCTTAACATTTTGTATAAAGTTAAGGCTTAACATAAGGTAAATTTGACCACAGTCATTACCTTTTCATGTCCACAACTGCCACAACTATTTTGGTTCTCCAAGTACTTTACCATCTTTGAAATTGCAAGAAAGGTTGTCCCTCCTCCCCTTTTGGATAGACTACATGACAGCCCTTCGTACACTGCAGCAGCTGCTGAAGAAAAATGCTTTTCTATTAAGTCAGGAATGTCACTACTTGGTCATGAGACAGCAGACAGACCTTCATCATTTTTGCAAAAGTTAGCTCCAGGGAAAACCATCAGCATGTTTCATTTCCACACTATCAACTCACTCTTATCACAGACCATCATTCTTCTAAGACAGGCATTTGAATAATACTTCAGATTTGACAATGGCTGACAAAAACATGAACATTAAAAAGAAACATTAAATTAAACACAGTGCCTACTAATAAAGCACTAAATGTGAGTTCAAGAAAAAAGAGAAAAGAAAAAACAGACCAGTATTTCATTAAAACTAATTACAATACAGAGTCAGAAAGTAGGAAACCTATTTTTATATAAATTCCTGAGAAACTATACAGAGAAACAGTTTGAAGAGGTACAGCCAGTGAAAGAACACTGTACCAAAACCAGTGATAAGTGTTATTTACTAAACATAAGCAGAGGCAGGTTCTTAGACACTGCAAGGAATGGCAATTTACACCCTCACCCACAGGCATTAGTAATTCCTGCCACAGACAACCAGCAAAAATGCATTTTTTTCCCTTCTCCAAAGTAATACTTAGTAACTTCTTTTAAACCAAGTTAATTTAAAATGGTATGGAAAAACAGAAGTAAGCAGAATCATATTCAAGATGTTAAAGAGTTTATTTTAGGAATGTGGACAAAAATAACACAAACATCTTCAATACTGTACATTTGTTTAACACATAATAAACAGCAAGGGAGGTGATTTAAAGTGTACAGGATAAACAGGAACATACAATTAGACTGGGGGGACAGAAGAGCTTCTTGCTTGTCACATCATATTGGTAAGCTACTGAGAGTGCTCAAGGAAACACCTCTACGAAAAGTAAGACAGGAAATAAATCACATTATGAAAATATCAAAAGAACAATAAAAGGTTAAAAAAAATACTGCCTTCTTATTGTACTGGCTCTGGCAGGGACTGAGGTAAATTTCTTCACAGCAGCCCTTAAGGTGCTGCTTTGCTTTGGATTTGTGGCAAGAATAGTGCTGGTAACACACCAGTCCTTTGGCTTTTGCTGAGCATTGCTTGCACAGCATCAAGGTTTCGTTTTTCCCCCACTCTGCTTGCTCCAGCAACTAGGCCAGGGGGGAGTAAGAAGCTGGGAGAGGACACAGTTGGCCAAAACTGACCCAAACTGACCCTATTCCAGGCTCACCAAGAAAACTGGAGGGGAGGCTGGGCAGAGGTCTGCTTCTGGCAGGTGGCAATTGTCTTTGCAGAATTTGTTCCCTCTACCCTCCTTTCCTTCACTTACTGTGCCTTTATCTCAACCCTTTGCTGCTCCCATTCTCTCCTGCATCCCCCCAAGGGAGGAAGGAAGCAGCTGGGCAGTGCTTAAGCTGCTGGCCAGGGTCAGCCCTGGTAAACTGCAGAATCTGGGCAACTTTATACTATTTTTTTCAATATACATTAAGTTTGCAGAAGAAAGTGCTCACACAGACTGATGTTTCTTAAATTTAGGAACACCTAACGATGTTTGTTTCAAAATCAACCTTCCTCCAATTTTGTTAACTGTATTCGAAGTACATATTAACATTCCCACAACTGAATTTAATTATTCAAAGACAAATATACTCTCTCTGTCAACCCCTACACATTATACTCTTGGAAGATGCTTTTCCAGGCAAAAAAAACTTCCACCCACAAGAATGTGCATGATGTATTTTTCATCATCTATTTCTGCTATGTGGAGCTGTGCTTCCATGTTGCTTTGTTATATATATGTAGAAAAAAATCTCTATTTAGGAACATGAGAACAGCTGCTTTAAGGAGCAGTTAAGACTGAACTCAAAATCACACTATTTTGACTATTAACAATCTAAGTCAAGTAATAAAATATAGCTTTTAAGAAGAGGAAGGATAAACAAACTTCAATTAACATTTCAACAACAAAAAACATTTATGGAAAATTAGTTCCATACACGTAGGAGATAGAAACATGTTATTTCAGAAAGTCTTTAGCTGCTTCTAGTTTTACAACCAGGAAAAAACCAGAAGTGAAAGAGCACAAAGGGCTAATGAAAAACAAACTGCCTTCCTGGATTCTGGAGTTACAGCTCTTGTGGAAGGTGCTCATCTTTATTCATTCTCAAATCTGCTGTAAGGGTTATCAGAATCCTGGAGAAGACCTGTAAAACAAAATGGGACTGCAGTTATCATTTTCTTTTTACAGAAAAACTCTTTAGCTACTGACTTCACTGCTATTGGTACTGCATGTAACAAATCCAAAAGGCAATTCTTGTAATAGTTGGTCTATTACCCAGACAGTCAAGTATTATAATAAATTGGAAGTGTTCTTAAGCACTCTTATTTCTCAGACAATAATCATTAATAAGTATTTCATGATTTAGCAGGAAGAGAACATTTTTCTATGAAAAATTATTATGGAAAAAACATTTCTCATCTGTGAGGTATACCCCAAAAATGCACTTGTGAGAGTCAAGTTGACAAAAATCTAAGTATAGAGATGTCTCAAGAAGAACAGACTCTGAGTGGCCAGTCTATAAATGCAAGTGACTATAAGATCATCATCCTTTTAAAATGTAAGATGTTGCTACTTTAACTTAGTTCTACCTCAATTATACACAACCATCTGTCACATTCAGCCACTTACAGCTTTACTGCAACAGGACAATAATCTCTAAGAAAAAATGAAGATCACTTCTTATGTGCACTAAAACCTCCAGGGACCATAACGAGAGCATCAGTTAATCCAAGTTACAGTATGTTTCCCTCACAAACATTCTTAAGGACTTTATACTAGAATAATGTCACAGAAAGCACTGCAAAGCCATCCCATTATGCTGAGTGCCTGGATATGCAAAGCATCCTCTGCATAGCTGAGGTTATATCCTCTGGTTAGCTGAGCAATCGCTGCTCCACACAGAAATTATTTCAAAGAGACTTTAAACCACACTTTAAACCTGGGGAAGGCAGAAGACTGAAAAATAAAGCAGTCCTGTAAGAGTCCAGAGGCTGAGCTTATGCTGTGAAAGGACAGGACACTACTGCTATCCTTTCTGCCAAGACTTTTATATTGATGTCTGACAAGGACTCTTCTGTAGCATGTTTGCCTAGGTGTTGAGACAGAGGACAGTGCAGCCGAGCAACTCCAAATCACAAATGTTCAGAATCACAATAATGAAAAAGAAAATATTTCTAGTCACTGCCAAACCTTGTAAGAATTCAGTCCTTTTCACACCATACCTCTTTCCACATGTACCTGCACACAGATATTGAACATTCACAGTTTTATCTGGAAGTCAAAACCTAATGGTGCTGTACGCAGACTACACTACTGCCTACCTTGTGCAGCTGGTGAGCTTCATTTGAACTGCTGGGTTATTTTAAGATGCCAGTCAAGCAGCACAACTGCTCAGGGCTGATTACTGTATCAGTTACTGCAACTAACTACCTGATAGGGAACAGTAAATATTTGGAATAAATAATAAATATGAAAAGTCCTATAATCACTCAAATAAACAAGATGACAAGAAGCCAACTTGCAAAATCTTAATATCAAAACTATCCCTCATATATATGACCCTTACTTGTCCAAGAAGTAAGCCAGTAACATTTATAAAGCTTCAGCCAGGTAACATGACATATAGTCTATTTACCTGGTGTAGTACCTTGTATCAGAGGTACTATCCATTTCTATAATTGTTTTTGGAAAAGAAAAAAAAATTAAGCATTTGTTTAACAAGAATATATTTAGATTATATAATTGCCAAAAATAATCTACAATATTTTCAGATTTTGAAATGTTTGTATTTTTAAACTTCTAGAAAGTGGTTACTTCTCAGATTTTAGTATTACCTTTCACGGATTTTAAGAAGCAGTTGTGATGTCCACTATGTCTATTCTAGCTGTCAAGTAAACTAATACACAATAAAAATCCTCTCTTATCCTTGGCCTGCCATTCAACCTCCAGTGCCTCCAGGTAATATTTCTGCATTAATTTAACCCCAACCCAAAGAGAGAAGAAACATTTACTTGACTCCCAGATCGTCACCACTCCCACCCTTCCTCCAGACTTGTTAATACTTTGGCAGTTAGGATATATGGCTCCTAATATATTTGGTTACCTGAAACACAACTGAGTAGTCCAATTAAAAAAAAAATGCAGTACTCCTGTATTTCACCCCTTAACACAAAACACATTTACACAACATTTATCAAAAATCAGCATCAATACTAGAAATTACCACTATTATTACAATTGCCATTGCATAAACTCCCTGCACTCATTAAGTTCCATTTACAAATAAACGCACCTAACTGCAAAAAGCTTTCCACAAAGTGGCAAGAGGGGGTACCATATTCCCTGACAAAATGAACATAGCCTGTAGACTTTTCTCTGTAGAGTCTGGCAAGTGCTTATTATATTTTTTTGATATTTTATTCAGGACACATAGTCAACACTTCATAGGTCTGAAAGTATCACAGTAAAACACTAGATACTGCTCTTTACAGCTTAAACAGCTGAAACCCAATGGAAAAGATTTTCTACATCCAGTAGTGCCAATTTCAAATTAACCAGAGGACTGTGTAAGAGTTCTGATAAACCTTTCCTACACCATTCTGAGGAGTGAATATACTTTCCTCTTTCCCTGCCCCAAAACACTCAGCTAAAAGCCATTTCAGAAAACTAATCCTCATATTTCAAGTGAATGTGCCATTTTTACTCCTCACTGCATATGCCATTCCCAGGAGTACTTGCTTTAATTTCACTGAATTATGTTTAGGAATGAACAGATCTAATCAACACCCATCAGGCATTAGTATGCCTAACTTAAAGTACTCTCACCTGTTTCATCACAGAATACTGAAACTAAATAGGCTTTAAGAACTATGGGTCAATACAGTGTGAATATTACTGGCTCCAACTTCAGAAATTGATCTCCCAGGAAAAAGGGACTCCAAGAGAAATGGCAAGCCCTCCTTCCAAATGAGGATAAGCAGGGGTTACAATACCTGATACACGTAGCTTTCAGCATTGCTCTCAAGCCTGCATCCAGCATTTAAATTTCTTTTATCCTCACCATTTTAAGTACATCATAAGATTACTTTAAGTAAGAGGAGCAAGACAGCAGCTCATCACTTGCACCAACTCTTACTGAAGAAGTATTAGGCTCCAGTAAGTGGACAAAAACTATATGGAGAGACATACAAAAAAAGGGGCACAACAAAAAACTTCTGTCAGCTGCCACTGCTGCCCTCCCAGTGGCACTCCGAGGAGCTGGCAGCTCATGCTAAGGGGGCAGCACGTCCGGTTCAGCTGAAGCTCTCGTGCTGCCTGGAACCAGCCGGTTGTCTCTCAGCTGTTTCCTGTCTGACATGAGAGCCACTACCCAAGTTGTCATTTACCCTCAGGGGTTCAGAGAAACCAGATGTTTGCATCTTCAGGAGCCTTGTTTGCAATCAAGTCCATTACATGTCACTGGTGAACTTGAATATTGGCACACAGGTCACTTACAAGTTCCTACTTCTATTTACCCTCATTTTGAGGTTAGTATTTGACCTACTTAGCAGTATCTACAAAACACTCAAAAATTTGAAAGATACAGTAGTCAAGTATCTTTCGTTAGTTTATAGGAAACAATGAATCATCTTAGTAAATATGAAATGACAAAGCAATGGTCAAAAGAAATTCATACCTCCTTCCAGCATATTCATTTATATTGTATACTAACTATGCATGTTCCCAGTCATTGAAATCTGACTCTCATCATGTATCAATGCTGCCCAAAACCAGAATTAACAAGCAAAATACATACAAGAGACTGTGTGTAGTTGAAAACAAAAAAACCAACCTAGTTTACTGCATGTCTTCACCTCTTACTGAACTTTTCCTCTTTATTTCTAGCCCCCCTATTAACAACGGTATTCTTAACAAACAAACAAACTAAATAGCTTTGAGTGTTTGGCAATGCAAGATTCTCCTGTCTTGCATTCAGAACACTAAAGAAGGTGAAAGCAAAGTATCTACCTTGAACAGAAGAAACATTTACTGTCAAAAAATACTGAATATAAAAACCAATGTCTTACATAAAATGAACAAGAGAGGATTACATATCATTAAAATACCTAATCAAAACCTTTGCAGACCTAAAGCAATGAAGTGATAATCATTTTGCAAGAATTAAAAGAAAAAAATCCTTCCACTAATACTTGGCAAAATCCTCAAATAAATAATAAGGCAGCTTCTCACTACTGCTATACTGAACACACAATAGAAGCAAATGCAGCAGAATTAAATTGTAGTTCCTTTGTGTACTATACAAGCTGCAAAGTACTCTGAATTCTACTTTAAATTTTTCCTAAGAGTCAACATATAATTTGTGTAATCATATTGCATTCATATATGTGAGCAAATGAAAAATACTATCAAATTGTGCAACAAAGAAACAATTGAAAGTGCGTACTCCTGGTTGCTAAAGCTCTCTATTGCTTCCAATGCTCCCAAAGGATTGTGGCTAGAGTGACACCTGCAGTGCATTATAAATGTGTAATTACCATTTAAATGGGGTATGGAAAGCTGGGGATGAAATGGGAAAAGGCATTCCCTTAAAGCCAACCAAATACTGAAATTTTGGGCATCATCATCTTTATCTACAGTCAGGTTAACAAAGGCATTGTCATTCTGCCACTCATCCATGCCTACTTAACTGAGAATCCTCTCTGCAGTGTGTAAGAGTGCAAAATAATCTAATGCCTCCATAATTATTTGCAGCAATTTTTATTAGATTATGCTTAATATGCTAACATCTGTATTTTGTAGACAGTAAAAAATGTGGACAGAAGATCCAAGTCTCACCAAATTATTTTGACCACCATTTGTCTGTGTATTATCAAAATGCAACCTTTACATTCAACAGCAATTATATTTTTGGATTTCAAAATTTATACATATTGTGTATTTCATTTTTTTCTCAGCTACATACATCCTTTAAGGATGTGCTAATTATGTTATGTGAGAGTTAAATTTTTCTTTAAAACAAATGTTAACCATGAGATTCCAGGCCTCAAATTGATATATCTGATAATATAAATTAATCTTTGTTTAGGCAATACAGCAAATCTGTCAATAAACTTTATATGGAAGTTTGCTATTAAAATTTAAGTTTATAGTCGAATTGCAATCTTGTGCAGGTAAGCTGCATTGCAAAACATTAAGTGCAGGAAGGAGTGAGTAGGTCTGACTTCTTACAAGAAGGAACACCTTCCATTCCACAATGAATGTATGAACTTGCTTCTCATTTATTCATTGATAGTGGAGTCAAAATGACACTAGCTCTCCTGTGAGTGTGAACAGTATAGTTACAAGCAATACTTGATTTATTGAGCTTGATGTCTGTATTCCAGAGGCATTGCATTATAGTTTTAAATTTCAGGGAACTTAAGTACTCCAACAAGATCCAGCAAAGCTCTCCACAAAGTTGTGAAAGTTAAGCACTGAACCGACAATTGTCTTCAGTAAAAAGTAGGGCCATGCAGAGACAAGTGAACTGGTTCCACAAGTAGAACATAACTGAATGCAGCTTTCACATCACTGAACCCCAGTGCAGGGCTCTGATACAGGAACTGCGATTCTGCACCCAGCACTGCATCTAGGCTGCATCCAGGAGATGCAAAAGTCCATCTGCACTGAGTGCTGCAAGTTATTGTGGGGACAAAACCATTGCCCTAAGTTCTTCACCAGATCTTTCCCAATGATTCAATCTTGCTGAGATTGACTGTGAGGTCTCTTCTAAAGAGAAAAAAATCACAAAAAGTCTATGTTGTTTTACACTGTACTTGGATTTTGTTTGCTTTTTTCACATCTGGACTAATGTTGTCAACCACTCAAACAACTCTTGAAACCGAACTGTGGTTGAAATACAGGGTTAATTATCCTGTAAAATACCACAGAACAACTTCCCTGACTGATGTTTAACAAAAATTACTTCCAGTTTCTACAACATTCTTTCTTCAGTAGCTCAAGCTTCACAGTGTAGTTTTCCTCCATTACAGCACAGGATCATTCTTTTACAAACGTTCTCCAGGCAGAGAATTCCCTACAGAGTTTGTCTGTATCACTTCTGCATCAGGCAAAGTGCAGGCTGCAGATTCATGAAGGCATTCCTAGACTCTGCCGATCAGTTTAACAAGAGGATGAAAATTAACAGCTTTGACTGATTGTTCAGACCCCTAGAAACACCTTCTCTGACATTAGTGCAATTTGCATAATAAAAAATGCAGCAGAGTTTTAGCAGATCTGTCTCTGAATACACAGTACTATTAACCCTATGAACAAATCAAATGAAAAGTGGAAACACTGACAAGCCTACATAATAAGAGCCTCCTACACAACACAGCAGGTCCTACAGTCTTGTGATATTCTTCTACAACTGGACAACAGCTCCACTTAAAAAGCAAAAAAAAAAAAAATATCCCTACATTAGGCTGCATCCTCCACTCTTCTTTTTCAAGCTTGATTTAAAAAGCTTGCTATCTACTAGTCAGTCACTCCTCCTTCAATAGCCATGACTCCAGCAGCAAAGTTCAAGTATGTTGATTTATCACACTCAGTAACAAACAAAAAAGCCCCCAAACTCAGCCTTCTTACTTTGAAATGGACAGAATAAACCACTTATTTTAATCAATATATTTAAGTGCCCATCCAAGCACACTGACTTCTTGCCCAGATGGACAGTTAGTGCAGGAAGAGAATAGGAGTGTAAACGTGCTAAAATCAGGTGTCAGAAGACAGGCATCAGCAGAAAACTGGGCTTGGTTACTTCTGCCGTTCATAAAGCAGCTTATTTCTGCTGTAAATTATAACAATCATTAGGGAAAAGGAATCAACTTAGGCATAGTATCAAAACAAGATGACACATACCATACTTCTTACGTATTTCATCATGCTTCAGTTTTCTTTCATGTTTCCTACAAGAAATAAAGGCATCAGAAGAATATTCAGACTCTTTTGAGCTGTAAGCAAACTATAATTACATCCAAAAAGGACATCAGCATTTTTTACATTAGCATCAGTAATCACATTATAATTCAAAAAAAAAAAAAATCACACTTAGCAGCTACATATATATTATCTTTGTATTTACACTTGATCTGTAAGTATTTACATACACTGTGTCTATCAGACTTACCATAAATTCTTACTAATGGATAGTGCGAACATAAGATGTATGACAATAAATACTTTTCTTTTCTATATAAAAGTAAAGCATCCACATATATGCACACATTCACAATGAGGTGTTCATCCATACATAAGAAAAAAGGCACTACACTACACTGGAACACTCCTTAATGCTTTCCAGCAGGGAGAATAATTGTAAAATTTAGCTCTGCACAGAACAGAATACTAATTTGGAATACTAATTTAATATAATAATTCTAAAAGGATAAAAAGGTGTACTACTATTTTGCTTAAGATGTACAGCAAGTGTAAGTGAAAACTACTGCTTTCTAAAATCCAGCATGGCAGCCATGCAGAGAATAAATTAAAATATTGTGCTACATATAAATTGGTTTTTATGTTGTCTGACCACTAAGACAATTTTAAGGCTGTACCTAGTATTGCCAAACTTAAATTATTCACATAAACCAAGTTCTGATGAGTCAATTTCTCCTTCCCCTTTGCAAAGGTGAAGGGGGGGAAATGAAAGATGTTCAAATGGAAAAAATGATTGGAAATTTGTGTTGTTTAAATGGAAAAAATATCTTTTCTCAGATAGTTTTCCTATATTACAAAGGAAGGATCTATTTTGCTTATTTTAAAAAACAAACATAAAAGCTCCTATACAACTGCTTCATGAGACAGGATCTATATACCTTAAGGAACAGACATAGTATTAGACAAAAAAAGTTCCTCTAACAAAAATTTAAAGAAAAAAAAAAATTTAGAAATACACCCTTTGCTACCCTCTGTCCAAATTCAACCCACTTAGACAAGTTGTGACTTCTGCTGGATTCCAATTTGCACATATTCAGCAGAAATCTGTTAAGCACTGACAGCTTAATCCACCAAAGATCCCATCTGCCCTATGCATATTCCACCTCCAAACAATTCCTACTGCTAATCAGATCCTGTGTGTCCTCAGAAGCAATTATCCTGCTTCCTACAGAGCTGAGGGTTGAAGTGGGCTTTTCCAGCAACTGCAGTTCTGGAAAAGCATGCAGATAAAGCACGATGAGAAAAACCAAACAAGACAGACAGACTCAAAACCTTCCACTACTGATTCCCAGAGATACCCATGTCCCTTACATCCCTCTGCATTATTAAGCCCAGGCAGCATAGCAAAGCAACCTGGCCAAAATGCAGTAACATAAGCTGGAGAGTCAGGGTAATGAAATTTATGTAGAAGAACAAATTCAGGATTGAGATATTGAAGAGAACAGAAAAAAGAGGAGACAAATTTACCCATTGAACGTAACCTGACAACATGATTTCTGCTTTCTGTGGTACATGAGAAGACGATATGATATGGGGCAAGGTATCTCAGGAAGAGAACAGAGAAATTCCGCTTAAAGCAGCCTTCTCCAACATACAGCTAAATCCTTCTACTCTATAGTTTTCATGTGAGCTAAAACCAGGTTTATTACTGATGGTAGAGGCATTTCTTCCTTCTTCAGCATATCCTGTTTGAAGACTCATTGCTGCAGGTACTGAAATCTCAGTACTTCAGCAGCCAGTGTGAATCAGCTCGGAATTCAGAAAGGACCTGCTTAAGAAGGGGATGGTGCAAAATCAAGCTGTGTAGGCTTTAAACCTCAGAAAGGCTTTAGGATACTTTCCTAGGCTATTCAAAAAAAACCAAAAAACATCTAATTAACTTTGAAGGGTAAAACCATTAATATCAGCGAAACATACAAACTCTGACAGGCAGCCACGACAGCATCACTTCACCCACGACTAAATCCTTGCTCAGTAAATAAGGTGTAGGTACACATCAACCCAGAGGAACCAGACACAGCTCTGAACAGGCAGTCCCTGCTCAGCCACCCAGAGTTACTGTACCACCCACATCTCACATGATGATCAGCTCAAGTCACTTCAGTCTTCCGAGTTGGTTCTGTTTCTTAACACTACTGCTATTACTCCATCTTATACATGCTAAAGTCTTGGCTTCTCATGCAAGTTGTCCCCACTCCCATAGGCTGAGGAAGTATTTTTCTCAATACTAACAATTCACATAATAATTTTCCATACTCGGTTCTTCACAAATAAACTGCCATCCTTTCTTTCCCTGGCCTCTCTCCTTGTTCTCCCTTACTATCAATTTATACTTGGCACTAGATCTTATTGCTTAGCATTTGTTTACAAACTTCTAAAATAAATAATGATTTATAAATTATATAAAGCTAACGTATACATATACCATGTATTTGAAGCTGTAAATAATTGAGTGTATAGAAAAAGACTCACTACTCAATGCCATACATAAGAATTATTTTTCACGTTAGAGATGATGAAGTCAAATAAAGTACTACAGCTATGCAATAAGATACTTGTTTTAAGTCAAAAATTGAACTTCAGACATCATTCCCTTCATGCCCCTCACTATAAGTGCAAACTCAAACCATCACCAGTGATTTTCAACCCTCTCACTAAACTGACAGCTGCTTTCAGCCTTGTGTAGATAAGCAGACAGCCAACATAATAACCCTTACTTTTCATTTTAACAGGCATCTTCCAAAGACACACAGAAGTATCATAATTAACTGAATTTTAACGCAAACAAGTACTAAACTTAAAAAGCAGACTTTTACATTTTCCGAAAGACAGAAAATACTAGGTGCTGCAATCATCTTAAACCTTCCGCTAAAAATAGTTCCACGGAACACTATGGAACCTGGGCCTCCTTGCTTTGTTTTTACCATTCACTAATGGAATCATGAAATGAAGCTCAGGCTAGTCCTGTTCCCCTTCCAGTGCCAACTGATATGAACCATATATGAGCTGATATGAGCTGTATTTGAAGTAGCTGTATCCCACAGAAAAAACAAAGAACATGTAGACAAGAAAAAAACAAAACCAGATAGACACAAGGTCAATGCTGTGCCTATTTTCCTCCCATACTTATCTGAACACCTATTCAGCTATTTTCATAAATGATGTGAAAACTTCACAGCAGAAAGGAAGGAGTGCACAGTACAAGAAACTGCTTTCCTCTGCAGGTTGCTTGTCAAAAATGGGTTGTTGAGAATATTAATTTGTTCTACAGCCTGCTAGTAGCAATTCATTCTCCAAAGGTCTTAGAGGAAGGAAGCAGTGGGTAGGGTGAGGTGCTCTAGGTGCTGGCAGTGGCTTACTCCTTGTGTTTTCCCATGACCCCCAGCACACACACAATTGGTATGCGTGTTCAGAACATGGAAACACCCCAGGGCTGCTGCTAAGCTCTCTCCTGCAATTAAAGCACTTTCTGTTTCACAGACACACTCCTGAGACAAGCTGGGAAAGAGGAATGCTGCTTTAAATAAGGCTGCAGGAATCACTCTGGCAGAGCAGCCTGCTCCCAGTGATGCTTGTTCCTAGGCTAAATTCAAGAATGGAGCTGACATTAGCTTTAGGCTGCTAATTGCCTGGTGCAACACCACTTGCTTGGTGCACAGCACACCTTACACTCCACACGCATCAGACTTCCTACAGATGAACTGTACCAAGAATTTAAAGCTGATACACAAATCACAGTGGAAAGGTTACTGAACACAATCATCCTGTTATGCACATAGTCAGAAGTCTTTCCTTTATAACAAACACAGATAAGTGCTGTCTTAACTGAACAAAGTAGCATAATTAAGGATGCTACATTTCACCACAAGGCACATGGTTTTGGCATACAAAAAACTGTTGATATTCCTCATTGGATCCCTCCTCTAAAAAGAAACAAAAGCATTACAGGGGAACATCACGTTCATACTAGGGCCTACTGTGCTCTGACTAGTTATAACTGGATTAACAAGTAGAGAATTCCCCTTTTTTCTGCTCCATTGCAAATATTCAACATAACTTATCAGAGAAACCATGTGTGAGCATACTTCCTGAATTGGATACCCATTTCTTACCCTTTCATGCACATTCAAGTCTGACACATTCAGCTCACAAATTCAGATGTTTATGAAAACAAATTTGCATCTGTTCTCTTCTTGGATAACGTTTGTCATTACCTCACAATGATGCACAGAGCACTCATGGTACCCGCCACAATGAGCATCAACTTGCCTGCTCTCTGTTGATTTACAGCAATACAGCTGCTAATCAGGTTCATCAATCTCATAATAAATGTTTTGTAAAAACCTGACACTGTCATGCCTAACATCACAATGCCTCTTTGTTTAGTACTCCACATATTTCTTAGAAAGGCAGAATACTCCTACATCATCAGGAAGTGTATAGCTATATATCAAGCTGTCAAGACTTACCTCTGAAGAGACTGTAGCCTTCGTTCCTCTCTCTTTCTAGCTAGCTGCTCCTCTTCTTCCTCTAGTCTGCTAGAAAAATGAAGGAAGGAAAGCATAAGAGCAGGAAAAAGCAACTTTATTGCTAAGCTATCACTATTTACTACTTCATAGCCAGGTAAAATTTCACCGCTGAGTAAGTTTAATTTACAAGTTTGTGTAATTATCCTTTCACATTTTATAATATCCAAATGCTGTACTCATTGCAGTAATATGCCCTTCAGCCTCCAGACAACTATTTACAGCTTCTTAGGAAGAAGATGCACACTGTTCCAGAAGCAGGATTCCTAAGTGCCCTTTTCCCCATGTGTCACACCTCATTTAATAGTCACTGTTCTGTATGTGCACAGTTAAGTCCATTGTTGTCCTTTGGAAGATGATTGATGGTTCACAAGCCTTTGATGCCAGAACAATTTATCTTTCCAACAACCATTACTATCCAATCTCAAGCTGCCCCCAGGAAATGAGTCTGTTCTGGAATGAGCAAGGATTTACCTGAGCATCAGCTGTGTGATTCTGGGAAATGCTGAACCTACACAGTACATCTGAGCTGTGCTTGTGCAGATATGCTCTACTGAATTCTCTGCTGCACTTTAGCTTTGTGTCCTGCCTTGGAGAAAGCTCACTTTCACATAACCATTAGACAGACTGCGTAATCCTTGTAGGACTAAAGCAAATGTCAAACAATTCTCCTATTAGTTCTTCCCTGACAGAATTTATGATGATTCTTCAGGATTAGTAAATGAACAACTCCATGCTTGCCCAGGTGCTAATCATCTTCCAAAAGTGGATACATTTCTGAAGAGGTCTGAAATGAATATTTACAATATTAATACACCCGAGCAGTATTACCACTCATCTGCAGCCACCAAGATCCAAGTTAAACAAGAGTGACATCCAGTGGTTAATTACAGCATGTCAAATGCTTTAATACACAAAATTCAGACAGATTCAGCTTTGGAAATATGAACTCAATTCCTTCATGTGCTCAAACAGCATATATCTCCATATATCTCTCTCAACATTTTAGTTATTTCAATACAAGCCAGTACTTAAGAATCCATGCAATTCTTCAGAAACAAATTTTTTAGTTCCAGCTTTTTCCACCTAAAGAATTAGAAAAAATCTTGGGGGAGCAGGAAACACACACAACAGGTCACTTTTATTTGAAAACAGTGTTAGACTCTTTTTGAAAACTAATCAATTCTCTACATCAGCATTTCCAGCATAATTAGAAGCTCCCATTCTAGGGCACCCTTCTGTAAAACTGCTTTACTGAAGACCCCATGTCTTACAACTATGCAATAATTTTCACAATTGGTGTTACAAAATACGAAAGCATCAAATAAAATAAAATGTTGATGCATGATTCAGAAAATAGATTTCTTCCCTGTAATTAAACAGTATTAAGCATCTTCTGATTTCTGGATACTTGGAACAAATTGTTCTTCCAAATTCAGAAAGTTTGAGATTATACAAATAAAATCACAGTTGATAATGGAAGTTCATGAGAGTCTATTTAGTAGAGTTTCATAAATAATAGCTGTTCACGGAACTGTCACAAGTACAAGGAACCTGACTCTAAGAAGTCCAAAAACACAGGATAAAAATAAAAACTGTGCACCAATATTCCTAGAATTCCTGTGGTAGGATGGACACATATGAGCCAACTACATTATTAATGTGGGTGTTAATGCACTTGAGTATTCTCTGTGTTCAAGGAAAACCAAAGTTCAGGCTTCTCAAACACTTAAACATCACAGCTTAAGAATTCCCTAAAGAAACACTGATACTTCTGCAAAACAAGGTTACACCTCAGAGCTCAGATGATACATCTAAAAAAGAATCAATTAAACAGATCTAGTACTACATTTCCACAACCCTTCCTTCCTCCTAGTCAAAAAAACCCCAGTTTCTTTTGTGGAAAATGAGTCCCCAGAATTAAGGAAGAAGAGAGCAAATGAATTCCTGTGGGCTTAAAGCCAATAATGTACCAGGCTTCAGTGTAATAACACATTCTGACTCCTCCTGAAATAAGCTGGACCTCAGATTGACAAGACCTTTAAATCCTCTAAGGGTCACAAGATTAAGCTTGACACCTTTGGAGTCTTGGCATAAGATGACTCTCAACTAACCCTCTATTTTTAGAATTAGATGTTACAGTACTGATTGACAACTTAGCTACTAAAACTGAAGTCCAGCACAAATATCTCTTTTCATGGGATTCAGGCTCTCTTTGCTGACATGTCAGCTGCACAGGCCTACTCAGTTGTTCTGCAGAGGATGCTGGCAGATCTTATGTAAGATCTAAACCTATTCTTTACATCTTCAGGGCTTATCAGCACAGGGCTAAAGAGTATTCATTTTTGCATTAGGGCAGATTTGGTATACCAACCTACCAATAGAACAGGTACACGCTTCTTCCTCAGGAAAGAAATAAATTACTGAGATGTTATTTACAATTATCTTTACATTTCTTTAAAGCCACAGATGTACCACATTTCTCTGGCTTTAGGATCAGCACTAAACAATGTACAGTTACATGAGATCTTTTAAAAAAGCCAAAACCAAATCACAAACAGGAACAATGAGTCAAAGGTATTTAAAAAAGTATAAGAATCATTTCTGACCAAGAAATAAGGTCCCCATTTTATTCATACAAGAAGTACCAAAAGACAAAAAGAACAGAGGTAGCTGAAACTACACTGTACAGAAAGCTTTAAAACTTGAGTGATAAAGGGAAGCATGTTGTGCTGTCCCACTTCACACCACAGTACTGACGTACCTATTTTAACTACTCATCAACTACTTCCCTCCTTTTAGGAATATTAGCTATGCAGAGAAGCCAGTTAAAAAAAAAAATTTACAAGTTCTCCAAGATCTCAAGAACATTTAATTTCTGCAGTACTACTTTCCTTGAAAGTAAGTAAATTATACTTAGTATCATAGAGCAAAGAAGTATTATCTTACATGTAAGTATCTTTTTGAATTGGCAAAGACAGCTAACCCCTTATATACTGACTGCTGACAGATCCTAGAGCAACTCTGAAAGATGGATATCAAGTGCCATATAGGACATTGCTGCTCAGTTACTTTCTACTCACCTGGTCCCTTTTTGCTGTACCATGAGCTTGCCCTGAAAGAAATTATTTACACCACTATCACAAGAAGCAAGTCTTTACTTGGTCATTGAAAGATTTCATGTCCAATGTTAATAAGAAAGTGTAAAATGTAGAAGTGCAAAGCAACAGCTTGCCTGAAGTCAGACACATCAGTGCTGTTACCAGTAGAAAAATCACTTCAGTCATTCCAGCATCATTTCCACTGTCATACTACTTGTCACTAAATATCTCCTATTTTGTTGTCTTTCTCAAACAACTAAAGCAAAGTGACCAAAACTACTTCCAGATGAAAATATTCTTAGTATACTGGAGAGTAAAAACTGTAGGTAGATAGGGAAGACCAGGACCCAGTGTTAGTAAAGAAAACAAATACACGTGTTTACCTCCTGGAACGCCTTCTGCAGTAACAGCAGTAACAGCAACAGACTGTTATGGACACCAGAATAAGTCCAGCTACCACAGCCATAGCAATAATTAAAGCCTCAAAGTTTACTGAAAAACATGAATATATTCAACTTGTTAAGACTCCATCAGTAACATTTATATTTCAGATAACTCTTCCCTTCCTTCCCACACATTTTTTCATCCCTATATGCAAAACATGATTCTGTTGAACTACCCCAGATAAATGCAGTATACCACATTAAAACTTTGCTATTATGCATAAACTACACTGAACAGACATTAAGTAAAACCACATTTCTCATTCTGTTACTTCCCTACAAGTTACAAACAAATATACTTCATCCCATAAAGCAAAACTTTTTCAAAAAATTTGTTTCAAACAAAATTTAATTTTTTCAAAAGTATACTACTTAACTATTGAAGGGAAGGAAAAGACTGTCAGTTTTCAGTCTACACTCCTGGCAACAGTACCTATTTCATCTGCTTACTATTCATGGAAACACCCAACACAATTAAGCTACTTTGTATTACACTGTTCTTCACTCCGGTTAATAATCTGTCAACATATGTAATTCATATAAAATTGTAACTGGAAGACAGTAATTTGTTTTTGACTTTGAAAGCTGCACTATTCACCTTCACTTTCAGCAATGGTGAAAAACATTCATCTCTTAATTTTATTTGCTTAAAGAAAAAAAAAAACATCACAAGCACCTTCACAAGTTAATTAATTTTCCTGTTGTGTTTGTAGGGGACAATCTCAATAAGAACATATAACCCCATTGCATGTTGCTGCTTGTAATTTGTAAGAAACCTATTAAGGAAATGCATATTTGATGGTGTTTTTGTTGTTTTGGTTTGGGGGTTTTTTTTCTACTTTTTTTTTTTTTTTTCTGAGAATGTGCTCCATTATGAAGTTTTCATTCTGTGTTTAAGCTACAGTCAACCTAGAAACACAAATGGCACACAAGATAGAAGCCATTTCCATAGCAGCAGTAAACTGTCAAGACCACCCTTAGTATCAGTAGAAAAGGACGTGTTTCTCTACCTGGTGTGTTTGAGAGTGTTAACTTACTTCATAGCAGCTCATTTGATGCTGGGTTTTGGATTTCTGGCTCAAACATGCTGGTAACACACCAATGTTTCAACTGTTGCTGAACAGGCTTGAAGAGCACCAAAAGATTTTCCCACCTCCCCCCTGCCCCCTTCCTTCTGCTCCCCCCAGTGAGTAGGGCTGGACACAGGCAAGAGAGTGAGAGAGGTCAGGAGGGGATGCAGACAGAACACTTGACCCAAACTGGCCACCAGATGTCAGGGTCAGCAAAAAAACTCTGAGGTAAAGGACAGGTAAGTAGAGGGCAGAACTGGCTTTCAAGGGGAAAGTCAATTCCAGTGGGAACTTATTGTCTAGAGACTGGCTGAGCACGTCTGCTTGTGAGGGGTGCTAAAAAAATTGCATTTTTTCCTCTCCCTCCTTTTTCTTCCCTTTTAAAACTGTCTTTATCTCAATCAAGGAAGTTTTCTGCTCTTGTTCCTTTTTCTTCCTCCATCCCACTGGGGCCATGGGAGAGAGGCAGGAAGCAAGCAGCTGTGTGAGCGCTCAGATACAGGCAGGAGTCAACCCTCCACCCTTTCAGAAAAAGTCTGCTAAACATTTCACAATAAAAGCCTTTACTACAAAACTGCAAGCCCAGTTTTCTTAAAAGTTAGCTTTATCACTGAAATGATACTCCTATCATACCTAAAAAACTCCAACAGAAGTTTAAGCACAAATGCCTGTTCCCAGAAAACAAAGCACAAAGCCCCTCTCTAAGAAAATAGAATTGATAAAGTTCACCTGTACTTTTTCATCTAGTCATTCTGCAGCAGGCATTAAGTGGTAGTGTTCAGAAACTTGCATGTTCCACTTTAACAGCAATCTTCTACTTCTGCTACCCTAATTTAGACTACTGCAAAATCTCTCTGCCCTAAGCACGGTAACTTTCTTTAGTCAACACTGTCACTGACAGTTCACCCCAACTTGTTTTTGCCCTTTAGCCCCCTGGTGTCCATGCACAAACAGACAGAAAGCAGCAAGTGTTTGCTCTGCTGGACTGAAGCTGTACCTTTGTTTCACACAAGAAGCTTTCTAACGCTTTAGGTGTTCTCTGTTCCAGTCTAGTCTGAATCTAGATCTGTACACACATTATTACAAAAACACCTCCAAATATTTCACCCTGACGACAGCACATGCTCAGTCGTGTATTTTGTAGTAAAACATGCACAGCAAATGGAAACACCATGCAGGATGACAACCTACAGTGGCACCATGCACGTTCCTTTTAAACCTTATCTACATTGCCTTTGGTACCCAACAATTACACTGTTATTTCATGTCATGGTTTGACCATGGTTTAACCATTTTGGGGAATACACCTCTCATGGGGGCACTGGCACTGTGCCGGAGTCAATCCATGACATTTCAGTTGTTTAAGCAAAAATAGCATTCAAGAATTTCTGTGTGACTCTGTTCCTGTGGTATTGGTTCACTGCTGCCATTGGAATATAAGAGAACTGTGGATCTAGACAAATCATCCAACACTTGCAGAAATTTTAAAGAAAATAAAAATGTTTTAAAGCCATCGCATCACCATACCTACACTGAACGGGGCTATGGCTCCAAATCATAACCACTGCCTCCTCACCCTGCGCCTCCAAATAAATTATCAGGAAACAGCTCTAGCAAGTTTACTTTAATCATACTCATAAATAATTCTCTACAGCAAAAGTAAAATTAGTACCTACTCCAGCAAACTCCCCATCGAGCATTTGAGAGAGAACACAATGAAGATGGTGGAAAAATACTTCTTACAGGGTAATCAATACACGTGTTGTTGGTGTAACACCAAAGGCACTGTGCAAAAGAAACAAGAAAAAACCCAAATTATATATCTTCAAAAACAGTTAACAATTTAGTGCACCACTCCAAATACATATTTCACTCCAGATACAGATGTGAATGTAATGCTGGAGAAATGGAAGTGCTTTGTCTTCTAAAGCCTACAGAAGTCCTCATACAATTTCTCAGCAAAACCTAAATTGAAGAGTGAATAAGAACATTTTGTACTTACAAGTAACTAGCCTGAAAATATTTGGGAACACATTGAGGCACTCTGCATACTTGAGGGTAAAATGGCTTTGGGTTTAAAATTACTGGAATTAACAAATACAAAATCAGACTGCAGACTGTTCAGAATTTTAAAACATCTCATATCTTTAAGGAATAAAATCACACCTATAATATTACTTCAGCCTTGCATTTGATTATCAACAGAAAGAAAATAGTAAAGAATCCTTATAAGTCTACAGGAGCTTTTGCTGCAAGGTAATGAAAGATAGTCTCATCCAGTCAGAGTTGCAAAGTACCTGTGTACCTTAACTGCACATGCTCACATATCTGGATATTTTTAAAATTTCACGTTTTTATGTGTATTATAGATAAAATTCCAGCACAACATTTCTGCTTCTGAAGCCATCTCTAAGCATCAAGCTTAGGTTTTGGTTTTCATCTGTTAAAATAAATACTTATTCAGAAGTCATTTACCACACAACTCAAACAATGAAATAGTTTTGAATAACAGCAGTAGGAATCTTTGACAGGATTATGTTTTTTTAGGATTCATTATAAAAAGAGTTTAGCCAGGAACTATGCTTTATCTAACAGTACTATCAAGAACATCTCTGTCATACATCCTCAATTACATAAAGCCTGTTATCTTGCTCTTAATGGATTACAAAACGTTAAATACAAAGGAAACCATTTGTAGCAGATGCTGCTTTCTTGAAAAGTTTGGCTACAAGAAGAATATATTTTGTAGTTGGTAGACTGTACAATTTAAACATACCCATAAGGACACATCAACAAAAAAAAATACTAAGAAAAGAGAATTCACTTGGCAAAAACTGTGCCCTTTTAATTACTATGCTAGATGAGAATATGATTTTTTTGGTTCAAATATTTAATAAGAATAAACAATTCAAAAATAACAACTAATAGGGGGCATAATAAAGGTCACTGTTAAGACTCTGAACATGTTGACCCTGTTTTGAGTAGGAAGCTGGATTAGGTGGCTCATGAGGTCTCTTCTAATCTGAATGACTGTACACTGGTGGTGACAACTGGGGGCCCAAAAAGGCCAGCTGTATCACTCTGATGGAGACTCCGCATCTAACTACTGCAAACACGTCTAACCCAAAAGGCAATACCTGACACAGCTCCTGGTTGGAGCAGGGGCTGAAGCACAAGAAAATATTTCAACTGATTAATTCTCCATGATAAAAGAATCTGACAATCATCAATACAATTCAATTAACATTTTTCCCTTAAAGCTAAAATATGCATAAGACAAGCAGGTAAGTTCAGATATTTCTCAATTTTCCCTGGTGAAAAGGTTTTCCAGTAATGGAAACTTACATGCAATTTTAAGATTCCTGAAATGTTTCTTTTCAGTGACATCTGAACTTTGAATTTGAAATAATCTCTCACTTCTGCTCTGCATTGACTAATGCCTTCTGCATGCTTAACAATATCCTTATCATAGAGCCAAAGAAGTTTTCAGCAAAGAAGAGAGAAACAAATTCTAACATTTAAACGTCTGCCTTATTGCAATCTCACTGGAAATACACTTTGCTACCAACAGTGGCTTAGCCTGGCAGTCTTCAGCACACAGTCAGTGAAGGGACCGGCACACTCTGCCTCAGTTACAGGCACTACTTGGGGCATCTTTAGAGAAAGGCACTTTCAGTTTATTTGCATTAATTTCCCAGCACAACACAAGAAAAGCAAGGCATTGTAACTGCCTAAGACTGAGTTTATTAGAAGGACATTTAGCAAAGTGCTACCCACAAAATGAGGATGAGTCTGAGGCAGCAGCAAGATCAACTTGCTCAGCTGAGCTATAAAAGCCCTGAGCACACACTGACACTGGAAGCCTGGATTCAGTCTGTCCTCTCCACACAAAGCACAGAAACACCCTCAGTGACGAAACCATGGAGCAACCCTGGCAAAGTGAAAGCACACTGGCATCACATGTGACAGATGGGAAGCCACACATCAGTTGATTCTATCACTTAAATAAGAAGCAAACAGCCTAAGAAAGCCTAACAGTTTGATTTCACATTAAGTGGAAATTCCTATCAATCTAAAATGATGTTAAAAACCTTACCGAAACATTTTTTAGACATTCTTCACAGGACTTCTGGGAAAATGCTGAACATGCTAAAAAACAAACAAAACCAAAATACAGAGATTATATATTTATTTTTATTCCATAAGGTCAAGCATTTATCATAATATTTAACCTTTTTTTTTCCCTAATCCTAGATGCAAGCAATAATTTTGACTGAAGTAATGAAATCTCAGTAATTCCATTCCAGGAGAACTGCAGCAAACAGAGATAAAAAACATGTAAGTTTAACCTCAGACACAGGAGAACAATTTAAGCTTACCTTTACCCTCAGTTTGCTTTCTTTAAGGACAACACAGAAGGTGTAACCCAAGAGTCTCCAGGTATCTCTGCTGAAATTCTAGAACTTACAGAATTCAGGGAACATTCCAAATTGTGCAGCTTTGGAAGCTTTGCAAGAGCTGACCCTTGCTTAGGACTTATACCCTTCCACAGGCATTAACTTTTTCTGGGAGAAAAAGTTTTTAAAAGATAAAGCTCTCCAATTTACATGATTTTAAATAACAATAAAAAACACTTCCAAACATAGGACACAAAGTTAATATGCAAGAGTTCAATAAGAAATTTAACAAAAGCTTGACAAGCCGAGGATTGCATTTTCTCTGAATAAAAAAAAAATACATACTGGTGTTCACATTTACTTTTTTTAGAAGTACCCCATGTTGATCATCTTAAAAGCAGTCTTTTTTTATCCATAACTCAGATATAATTTGTTGCCCACAGGACCATGTACATGCCATAGTCTTGACCTAGATGAACTATTTGAAAGATGAGGGGGAATCTCCTTTCCTAGTCTGAACCTGGATTTTTATTCTAGAAATTGCTGTTCCTATGATATTTTTTATACCAGTTAATGAAACAAGGCTGTTCTTATTTCACTATATCACAAATACAAGGGGAAAAGATTTCCAAATGGAGCATTAGTCACAACAAGTTGTCAATTTGAGGTAGAGTTACTTGCTTGTGAAACAACTACCTATTTCAATATTTTCTTTTCATAATTAACTATTACATATTTCTGATACTAATTCTTAACATTAAATGCATTTTATGTATCAGTATATTTATCTTTAATTTATATATGCGGTTGGAAAACCCCCTTACCAGTTTATCCGGTAACAACTAAACTGCTACAGGTACCAATTAAAAGCTTAAGGCCCATATACCAATTAATTTAAAAAAACAACAAGAGAAGCAGGTTCAGAAACTGTTCTCAGTTTATACTCAAAAATTTTCCAACAGGAGTTTTCAACATGGAGTACCATCATGCTTAGTCATTTTTCATTACTTTTCCAATGTGAGATTTTAAACACCTAAACATGCTTTCTCAACATGAATTAGTAAGGCTGACTTGCTTCAAGTTAGCTGTCTCAAAAAGCTGGAGGTTCCCTTTTCAAGTATAAACCCTTCAGTAAAGGAAATTAAACACTTGCGGCTCGGACGTAGACACACCTATCAAGGTGCACTTGAGATACCCACACTTGATGCTAGCCAACCTGACACACACACCTTTGCGGGCACATCTGTTGGTGGCAACTAAATCACAGGCGGAGCTTCACCAGCTGCCTGCCAAAAGCAGCGAAGAGATAAATGATTCCAACAGGAAAGGAAGGAACGAGCACCTCCGTCAGCTTCTCCTGAGCCACATTCCTCACCATCATCCAGGGCTGAACAAACCCTGGCGACTGTGTACTCTAGGATAACCTTGCTTGAGCAAGGGAGGTTGGACCAGGAGACCACTGTGGTCCCTTCTAATCTGCCCCATCCTGCGATTCTGTGACTGCTGTCTCCGTGCCAAGGTCCGGACACCCCACGGCCCGGCAGCCGGGCAAACCCCAGCGCTATCAGCGCGTCCTTCGGCCGGGAGCGGGCTGTTCCCGCTCGGCCCGCGGGAGCAGCCCGCTCCGCGCCGGGACAGCACCACGGCAAGCCCCGCGCTCTCCCCAACTCTCCTGCTGGCGCTCCGGGCGCCGCTGGGCCCTTGCAGGCCTCGGGGCGAGCCCGAGCCCGTGTCCGCCGCCGCGCCCCTCTGCCCGGCGCAGGCTGAGCGCAGGCCCGGCCAGGCCCGCCCGGGAAGGCCGCAGGGCCGCACCGCGGCACGGACCGCAGGCAAAGGGAGCGACGCCGCGCTGCCCGCCCCTCCTTACCCTGAGCCGGCGCCGGCGGAACCGTGGTGCGGATCTCCAGCCCCGCCACGGCGCGGCCGCACAGCAGCGCCAGGCCCGGCAGCCACAGCGGCCACCACCGCGCCGCCTCCATGGCCGGGACGGCACCGCACAGAACCCGCTGGCTCCGGGCTCCAGGACCCGGCCCCGCGCAGCCGCCGCCAGCCCCGGGGCGGAGCGGGCTCGGCCGGGGGCGCGGCCCTGCCGGAGCGGGCGGGGCATGGGCCGGGCCGCGCCTTCCTTACTCGAGGGGCGTGGGGTGAGAGGCCGGGCTGTGGCTGTCGCTTATCCGCAGTCGCTGAGGGCGAGGTCTGACGTACACAGGGGCTTTTCCTCTCCATGCTTCCTTTAATGTGACACCCTTTTGCCTGTGAGGGCAAGGATCCTGTGCCCTGCCTCCTGGTTTCGTTCCTTGGTGAGGATCCCCAGAGCAGGCTGCCGGAGCCAACGGAGACAACAAAGACATTCCAAAGCCAGGGCTGGCCAGAGAAATTAATAAAGATATGGAGGCAAATAGAAAATTTGCCATGACCTTCCCATTTTAAAAGACTAACGAGTCGTTGGTTGTTGCATGGTGACCCCTTCTCAGGGCCTTTGGGAAGCATTTAGCACTCTTTCAAGTGCCAGGGATGTACAGAACACCCAGATGGGTCTGCAAGATACTACACAGGAACAAAAGAAAGACCCCAAACCCTCTAAGATGACAGGGTAAGGACACGATATTGGACATCTCGGTGGCCTTAGATAGCTGTGGTTACACATGAAATCAAGTCCCTAATGGCCACTTGCCATGCTGTGACAGCCAACCTTGGTTTAGTTGAACAATCCTACTGCTGAACTTCATTAGCTTCTCTGTGACTTGTTCAGGAATGGGAAGTTTGATATTTGGCAATCAATAGCTGAAGTACTGATGTAGGTTTTGTCAGTGCTCAAAGATTCTGCTTCAAGCAGGAAGCAAACAAACACTCCTTCCAAGTACGGCATTGTTCAGTCAGTAGTGGCTCCAGCTGCTTGTGACCACCCTTCTCAAACACTCCTTCTCTTCTATTTGGACCATTTTTATTACTCTTGTGCAATAAGGCCATTGTTGCTATAGAAAGTACTGCAATTGCTTTGTGGACATAGGGACAGCAGATCTGGGCTGTTTGAGAGGCTTTTGTAAATACACTTCAGCCTTAACAATAAATAAAAGGAATGTTTTTCACAGTGTTCAACCTTGCCATCCTGTTTTTAGACACCTGATTCACCTTACTGCAGAGATTAATCTCTCTAAAGTCCTACCATGGTAAGAGATGAGTAGCTCCAGGAAAAATTCAGAGGGAATTAGGATAACTGCTAGTATCTCTGGTGGCTTAGGCCAATGTGTATAACTGAAGAGATCACACCTGAGTAAGGTGCCCTTACCTTAAATTAAGTTTCAACCTGTGCATTAAAAAGTTGTTTACATTTAATTTTGTCTATGTTACCTTCAGATTTTTGCCAGCAGCACTAGAGTCCCTGCTTCTTGGTCTTCAGGGATATTAGAAAAATAAAACTAAAGTGTGGGATACAAGCCACACGGAGACAAAGATTTTTTTTTTTTTTTTTAACCTGAGGTTAAATATAGGACAATATTATTATGACTTCAGTGTGCTTCAGCTGGCAGAGTCCTTGAATGGTTTGGGTTGGAAGAAGCCTTTAAAGGTCATCTAGTACCACTCCTCTGTAATGAGCAGGGACATGTGAAGAGCAGATTATACCATGTGTTCAAGTCTATAAATCTTTATGCTCTGAAAAACTTTTTTTCTTGTTTCTTGAAGTCACTTGGAACGGGCTCTTGGGATAGCAGGGAGAAACAGGTGACAGACAAAGACTGCCAAAGATAAAGGACTGTTTACAAGTAATAATTCAATAGACTATAGCTAGGGATGCATATGCCAGAGTTGTATAAAGTCATGAAAGGCACAGAAAAAATGAACACAGAAGGGCTTTTTTCTAATAGAAGACCTAGAGGGCACTGAACACAATTATCATGTACAAGACTGGAAAAAAAAAGTTCTTAGAAGAAAATAAAGTGTCTTAAAGTGCAAAACTCTGGATATTAAGGACATTAAAAGTTTATATTAGACCAAAAGTTTGGATTTTTCCATAAATATATCTTTTAACAGTTATTAGATATCCAGATACCCCTGGTTCAGAAAGTCCCTGAACCACACCGCTTGAATTTGTGTGCAATTGCTGAGGAAGACGCATTACATGATTGCTTTGTTCTCACAATCTTCCTTAGACATTTGTTGTTGACTGCCATTTTAGGTGAGATACTGAGTTAAAAGTGCCCTTGAAATGACTTCATAGAGCTGTTTTTATTAATTTTCTTTTTTTTTTCTTCAAAGCTTATGTTATATTCCACCTGATTGCAAGGGGAAATCCTTTTGCTTTTTTGCTTTTTTTTTTTTTTTTTTTTTTTTTTTTTTTTTTTTTTTTTTTTTTTTTTTTTTTGTATTTAATTTTTGGATGTTTTTATGTATTCAGTGAAGAGTGGCTTCTCATAAAACAGCTCAAATTCCAAGCTTTCCAGAATCTGGGATTTTTCTTTGAGTTGCTTCTAATACAGTTATATTGGAGGAAGTATTTAGCTGCAGCCAAGTGGGAGAGGGGGGGAAAACAGAATTTGCTGAGAGCTCTTCAGAAGTATGGATACATCCATCTTCTCAGATTTAGTTTTATTATGCCTTTGGGGGAAAAAACCCCATTAATATAATTTATGAACAATGGTAATGTAATAATTCTCTCACAGTAACTATTCCTACAGTAATGAAACACATTTTTTCTTGGTTAGGTAGCCACTCCCTCAGCAGACATAAATTGCCAGGAAATGGAGTGTAGATGACAAGAAAAAGTGATCTACCAAGAAACTGACTTGGAATAAGTCAGTATATATTAAGATTGAAAAAAAAAAGTACCCCAAAAAAAAAAGAAATCTCAGAACTTAAACAAGATTTTGATTATTTTGTAATTCCATACATATTTCAAATTATAAAGTTTTTTTTTCAGCTCTGTAGATTTTGCCTGGGTTTTGAACAGTGTTTCTACTCATGCATTTTCAGCATCACCTCTGACCCCTTTGCCTCATCTCTGCTCCACTGTTGTGATAGAACAGCTGAATGAGCCATTCACTGGGTATCTGAACAAGGAACAGATTGGGCTGACAGAATCTTGTCTTCTTTTTTTAGCTTGTTTATTTTCTGTTATCACCACTGCTAACAATCTCAAAGGTGATATATGGGTTACAAAACCTGGGTGTGTTCAGCTGATTCCCTTAATGGCAGTATTACTTCATCACTGTGGCAGAGTTTACCCAGCTTGCCTGATCGCAGTATGTGTAAATAACTCAGCTTATGTGTCACAAAAGTGATTAGAATGTCACTGGGTTTTTTTCTCTGTTGGACTTATGAACATAGGCCCTGGTAGAAGACTTTTACTGCAGCAATACATTGTTCAAAAAGCTTTTTTTGGTTTGTGACTGGCTGGACCACAAATGTATCTTCAGGTTGCAATTTGGTTTGTAATTAGATCAGTGTTCCCACAAAAAGCATCTGTACTTCTCTCTCCCTGAATACTTGTTCTTGCATCTGAAAAGCGCTGTGGTACATGCAACAGAAACATATCTGTAGTCCTATAGAGAACTGATGCAACTGGAAGTTACTTTTTCAGTGAGATAGGGATACTCTATGGGCTCACTGAGCAGGGGACCAAATTCTTGTGCTGGCACAGCAGAGGAGGAATTGTACCCCATGGGCTTTTGTTTGTTTGTTTGTTTGTTTTCTCAGTTGCAGGACCAGCTTAAATGTCTGTTGGCTTCATATAAAGGCTTCAGGGCATTGTTGAAGTCATGTGAGAAGATTCGTGTGAGATCTAGTACTTTGTTAAAGTACTGAGTGATTATATACCTACAGGGAGCAGATCTGCTGAGTGAGGGCATGCACCTTCATGTCTTCCTTAAGAGTCTATTCAGATTTTAATAAAATGGTTTCTACAACTATCTTCTGAAAAATATTAATAATACTATCTTACAGAGCAAAATGTGCAACTATGAGTTCAGACTATTTCTCAAGGTCAGATGCAGAAAAATAGGTCTTCCAGGTCAATGTCCACCTTCTGTAATATAATAACCAATCTTCCATAAATAATATTTGGTGAAACAGATCTCTTGGAGGTGCTAATAAGTAGAAGTAGGAAGTATCATAACCCAGCTCTGGTCCTGCAAATACACAGACAGCAGACATTTGCAGAGATCAGAGCAAGGTTTATTCAAGGTTTTTGTGGGTTTGCTATAAATTCAACAGCCCAATTTCAGCTTTCAGACAAACCCTGGGATTAAACCAGAGACTGGCAGTTAAATAGTATTATTAAATTCAGACATGATCAGCTGAACACTGCTGGGACAGTTAAAGACAGTCAGTCTCCTCAGCTGATGCGGGGTTTTGCTGTCATGGAAGTAAGACTTGCACCCACAGTGAGTTTTTGCTTGCAAAGAGGTAGCGTAGAGGAATACACAGGAGCAGTTCAATGTCTCTGCTAAGGGTGCTGGCAGCAGCTGATGTTCCTTTATTTTCACTGCACAGTACTCAGGTGACCACACACAATGTTTAGGGAATAAACATACTTCTGAAAAAGAAGAGTATCTGCATAATTACTCAATTATCTTGTGGTTATACTGAGAGATAAAAATACTAGTCTCATGATAAAAGGCATATAGTGAAAATTCTTGATTTCTGACCTACATGTTTTTCTGACATAAAGTCGTTTTTTAAAGGAATAGTTGAGAATAGCTTTATGTGCACTGTTCTGTAGAATGGTTAATAGTACTGAATTTCAGTCAAATTGAATTATAGTCTCTTGTTAGATTTATTGTAATGCTACTATCACCAAAATGAAAAGCCAATGCTTCAAACTTGTATTTCAAACTAAAATGCACTGCCAGTCAAATCTGACAGTGCATAAACAGCTGTTAACATTTAGTCCTCACTAATATTTCAAAAAAGATAGAGTAATGAATTTTCTAATATATCATGTACCAAACTGATCCCTCCTAGCAGGGCTAACTATTTTGGAAAGCATTGGACATATTTAGACAAAGACTAATTGGTAAAATCAGCATTTCTTCAATGGCAGGGCTGATTTGGTTTCTGGCTGAGCAGTGTTGCATTAAAAATGG